CCCCAAAACCCCAAAACCCCAAAACCCCTAAGCTTATGCATCAGCTGAAATATTTAGCTAGAATTAAGCACTGGCTGGAGAAGTGTCTCGTTCTCCACCTGGTCTCTGAAGAATTCAATGTTTGGGTCAGGACCTCTGATCGTCCCGTACTTCCGCCAATTGCGCAGCTTGATTGCATACTTGTAAGCAAGGTATAGTAGGAGGAGAACATAAGAAATTGGGAAGATTGCTATACCGACTATGTTTACTACTGTTCTTTCATCAAATGCACCGTTCAGAGTATTATTTGTATTAATTATGTTATCCCCATTTACTGAGCAGAGTAATGTAATTCAAAGAATAACAATTATTGCTTGATTAAGCACAGTCACAATTTGTAAATTGAAGCTTCGAGTAGGATTATAAAGACAAACATATGCGAACCACATCAGTTCCAATATCATCATTCACAATGTAAGAAGGGCTACTCAATACATATTCATCCAAAATGAAAATAATAGTCCAAGAAAGAATTGTACCATAAACTTAATCTCAATAAACAGATAAAACAAGAAATGGTTTGGGTGATTAGTTCTGAGTCCCCTCACCATTGGGTTCTCTCTAAGCACAAGAATATTATCTGTTGCGACTGCTTTCAAGAACTTCAATATAATTCTACCCCAAACACAGAAGTATACAAACATAATTATTCCCATCAGCAAGTATTCAAGAATCATCATAGAGGTTAATTCAAAAGGCTTCATCGGCTTGTCTTCATCATCATGTCTAAATGTTCTGCCCAGCAACCACCTGAGGTTATCAAGCATCCCAAAGAAGCTGTAATGAATGAGCAAACAAATAATATAGCGTAGCTTGGACCTAACTTTCTCTCTCCAAGATTTTCTCAGAGTCTTCAAACATATATAAAGAAGCATGAGGCAGAAAATAAAAGAAAGCAAGAACAAATGATAATGCTGAAGATATAAACCAAGATCAAAGCTTGCTTTTCTACCTCTTCCATCTCTAGTATCCTTATCTGGATCAAAATACATATATACTGCAATAGCAGGAGGGAATATGTAAACAACAGGAAAACTCAAGCTGCGGAGGAATACAAAGGCATCAAATATCGTATCCCAGAAAGGATTGTTAAGAGTAATGAACAGGATTAGGTATAGTGACTGGTAGTGAAGAATGAGCATCTTGAAGAAGTTGAAACATTCTTGTTTCCATGACAGAGCCCATAAAACTGTCAGCAATGGGGTTAATACATATTGAGAGAATATAATGAAATAATAAAAAGTTGGGACACATTTGTTATCTCTAGTTTTTATATATCCTTTTGCGTTATTGCATTTATTACACATTCGATTTTCTTCCAAACCATGTATTATAGTTGAATCATTTAAAGCTTCACATTCTTTTCATCCAGTAACTCACTGCGTCTGCTTAATAATCACAGGCTGATAATACTTTTGCGAATCAATATTTTTCTAAAATAATTCTGTAACATTTGCCAATTCATTATCAAAGTATGTTCTGAAATCATTTGGAGACTCAAGGATTATTTTGGATGATCATTTTAAATTGCTGTAGTTTAAGTTTAGACGCCTTACTTGGTCTTTTTATTCTTATAATATTTTCAATCAAATTGGTCTCAATTCTTCTCTCTTTTCGGTTTGTACTTTTTCTCTCAAAGCTTTACATTTTCCGAAATATTTAGACCTCTAGTAACATCGACACTAAATGTATCCCCATTTTGAATTGAGATGTAGGCTGGCTTAAGAGTCAGATTTTTAGTCAAATTAACTTGTCCATAACTCGTGTTTATATAAGTGAACGTGATTGGAGGCTATTGGTGATTAAAATATTCTCTTACTATTTGCTTACCAGTGACTGAAAATTCATCAATTACGAAATAAGGATTATTCAAATCAACATTGAGAGTAACATTATTATCCTTTTGCCAAGTAAATATGACCCTTGGTTTAAATTCTATCCCAACCGCAATATTTGCACTTTCAAGAAAAACAGTTGACTTGACGTAATAGATTTCCTTCTCAGTGGCTTGTTTACTTAAATCCTTTACTGCAATATGAACTAGTTTGCCACTCAGAAATAGAGGAATTCGATTCTTCTCTGTTTTCACTTTATAAGCAAGTGTTCTGTTCTCTTTAATATTAAAACTGGTTAGATAGGTTACCTCTTCTGGTAAACCAGTTACTTCATCAGTCTGTTTGTAGGAAAACAATGAGTACACTGTATCTTTTATAGTATTGATGAAGGTTATTTTAGTCAGAGGATCGCTCAAATGCATCTGGAAGGTTCTAGAATAAAAGTGAAGATATATTTAAAATTGTAGAATTTTGGTAAAATTAATTTCGAATCAAAAAATAAATAAGAAAGGAAGATTGGGTCTTACTCGTTTCCAAGATGAAGTGCATTCTCAAATGCAAAGAATTTATATAATACTAATCTTTGTCCAAAGCACGCAAAGAAGTAAAAGTATCCAACCTGATCACTTTCACCATACTGATAATAATGGCCATCACTGATTGTCATATTAATACCCAGAAATTCTGGAGTGTCGATCCAAAAAGAGACTTCATTTACATTATCAAAATCAATGGCTTGCATAGTAATCCTATGATCATGTGCCTTCTTTGAAAATAGAACTTTTGTATTTTTAACAATGTTTCCATAAGGAATAAAGGTCTCGCTCCATGCTGCTTTTCTAAGCTTAATACAATTAATTTTAGCAGTTAGATTCCCTTCTGTATTTTCTTCGGTGAAAAGGCAGATATACTTCATGAAATCAGTATCCTTTGCTGTAAAAACTACCTTATTTGTCTCATCAATCGCTTTCAACCTTCCAAAACAGGTGCTATTAACTTGGGTCCCATATCTGTTATATTATAAACTTTAATTTCCTTCTGTGTAGTGTCAGTATAGTTGATGCAGTATATCCTGAGATCACATTTATCATCTGGGAATCTGGCAGCGCTGTAAAAGTATGCCATACCTTTCACTTCATTGACATCGAAGTTATCATAGCTAGTATTTTCAGCAAATTTGTACGAGGTTTTACGGTATTGGATCAACACATAGTTTTGATCTGGCCCATCTGGCACACCTTCCGTAATTTCATACATGACAATCAAATGTTCTTTTGCTTCATCAACCCTGAAAGCAAGAATGTTAGAGCTTGTTATATTTAATGACTCATTTTTGTCATCAAGTATTTTCCAGTTTTCGTAAGAATTTCTTGCCCAATCTGCTTTCTTCCCTTGGTCACAGTTCCCAAACCAAAAAAGATACGTAAGGATCGTTGTAATAGCAATAAGTTTCATTGCAGTGAAATAATTAATTATATAATATCAATTTTAGCAATGACAAGGGGTTTTGGGGTTTTGGGGTTTTGGGG